TATATATATATATATATATATATATATATAGTAATGTGTATGTGTGTGCGCGCGTGTGTGTGTGTGTTATGTGTGTGTGTGTCTCTCTCTCTCTTTATGTGTGTGTGTGTGTGTGTGTGGAGACATCTTATTTGTTCGCTTCTTGAACAATAATGACGACGAACCTACAGACGATTTTCTCCTACACGGTACCAATTGAAATAGTCAGCAATGTTTTGCAGAATATCCTCATTCAGATATGCAGTTTTAAATTAACAAATTAATTTATTCTACCAATATGTCGACAAAGTAACGGAGTAGATATTTAATTGATTGCTTATATTCAAACTGAGTCCAGAGTATGGCTTTTATCAGAAATTGATATTATAAATCGGGCAAATGAACAAAAGGATAAATTCGATATACATGGATGCATTATGACTTAACATGTAATATTACAAGCAAGCACATGTACATTAAAAACTACTTACACTAATATATTTATATCATGGCATGCATAGCATCCATGCGCTTTTCAATAGAATGACCTTCCTTAAATATTCTTTTCATTGCAAACGTCGTTTCAATTGGCAAAATGGTATACTGGAGTTTCATCGCTGTTTGATGTAACAGCTTAGGATTACTATAATGGTGCAATTGATTAATTTTATGAGATGTTGCTAAGCGACAGTAGTTTCATGTCTTCTTAATGGATTTCTGTAGCAAGAATGACACGACAGATAGAATTGAAATATGACTATAATGTGTGTTTGTGTTGAGCGATAGATAGATAGGGAAAGAATGAGAATGGGAGAGAGAGAGTTAGAGAGAGAGGGGAGAGAGAGTGAATAAGAGAGTGTGTGTGTGATAAAGAGAGAGAGAGAGAGAGAGAGAGAATGACAGATGGAGAGTGAAAAATAGACAGGGTGCAACTTAGATATAAGTGATACAACCATTTTGTTCCTATTTTTTTTAAATTTAAATGAAAATCGAAATCGGTTTTGAAATATGTGAAGTCTTAAATCTGACAAGGTTGTGTTATGCCCACAAAATTTGAAATTGTTATCATCTCATATTACTTTATATTTCTGTTTGTATTTGAACATTGCACAATTTTCTTTCTTTTTATGTATACAGAGCTTTTTTTAAAGCTGGCCTTCTGTCTCTGACATATATAAACAATTTAAAATGAAACTGTACAATAATGATTTAAAAATTAAAAAATTAAAGATAAAGGTGAGTTCTGGTAATGCGATTGCATTGTGAAAGAAAAGGTGTGGAATGGATCAGAAAAAGTTGATCATATTGCATGTAAGTATTGGTGTGTACTGCAAGGTTCTGGAGTCATCAAAATCATCATAAATTTGGCCCAGTCTGGGTAAAGTAACAATCACTGTACACAGAAAGATGTCTGTGGGACAACACAAATGGTGTCGGGGCTAGTACTACCTTGATTTCCTTATATTTCTATGCTCATTACTCAACCAGTATACATTTTTCTCCAAAATTGTTTGGCACATGACATTCATTTGTAATCTTGAACATTCAGTGTAAGTTTCGTTAGATTCTGTGAGAATTCATTTTCTTTTTTTTTTACCAGAACTCATGTTTATCTTTAATAACGAATGATGATACTTACTAATTATAAAAATAACAATAATGTCGATTACATCGACTCCGTGTATCATGAGAAGATCTAGTTTTCATCTAATCGACATATATCCCACTTCGGCTAGAAAACGCTTCTCCAGTTTGGTCCACATCAATTTCGTAATGGTTAGTTTGCAGCCTGGAGAAAGTGCAGAAAGTGTCTGCCGTATTATCATTGGATACGAATATTTCTTATAAAACCTCTCTTACTCGCCTTCCTCTTCAGAGTCTATCTTCTTGCCGTCTTGCCCTTCTTGAAAACTTTTCTCCCAAACTTTTTCCGTCATCACAATATCGTGATCTTCGACGAGTCGGCGCCGACTCGTCGCAATACCTCTTGCCGTGAACTAAGAAACTCTCAACACATAAATATGCCCCGATGTAGAACTGAAAGACACCGCACTTCAACTATTCCCTATATCGTACGACTTCTTAAAAAACAACTTTGATTATAATTACCTTTGTCATATTTGTATTTAATTATTTTTCTGATGAACGCTGATTTTTCTTTCTCTTTCCCATTCTTCATTCTTTCATTCTTTTCTCTCCTTACTTCTCTCTAACTCAGCAAAGTAATTAATATAATTATTACTGCAATTTTGATTATTTACAAGAAAGTCATAACCGAATGAAGTATCTTTTTTTCATTCAATATTTGTACGCAATAATTATGTGTATCTTGTCTTCATCATATCGGGAATGCCAGAATTTTAAAATCATGATCATAAGCATGTATTTTCTTAGCGGAAGGGGGGTGGGGGTGACTTTGTTGGGACTGCTGTGGTTTGTGTTTGCGATGGGATTTCATTTCTTTCATTACCCGTTGTCCATTCTTCTCCACATGTTTGTGCTTCATATGTGCAAGTAATCCCTCTCTTACTCTAAAGTGATATCATTGTGCAATAGGATTAATATTCCTGAATATATTCAATTAAATCTATCATCGAATATTTAATGACATTGCCTTAACTGTTTTGATAACTATTTATCCACATCTTCGATACATTTTTTCTAAATATTTTATAACATCGCTGTGTGATGTTACCATTACTTTTTTTTTGTTATATTGCTTTTGTATTTTGGAGTTTGTATCAAAATATAAATATCTGATTGCTTTGTAAAACAGATAATATGAGCCTTGAGATGCATGTCACGTTTTTGTTTAAACTTTCAATCAATCAATCATTCAATCATAACAATAATGATAATGATGATAATGATAATGATAATGATAATAATGATCATAATAATGAATAAAAAAAAATTGACAACCGACGACCAGTTCGTTGGTAACATGTCTCTAACTGCTAATGTTCGTTAAATATGTATTAACCTTGCAGAATCCCCCCTCCCCCCCCCCCCCCCCCCCCCCACTCCAAATTGTTACAACAGTTCCGTACACTTTATTGAGCTCTGTTTGGATTGAACAATCTGAGAACAGTTTCTTTTCGTTTAAACATGAACTTTTTTTGCTTGTTAGCAGCTCGGAGAACAAAACACAAGCTTTTAAAGGCGTATGAAAGCATGGAACCAGAGGAAGGGAAATCATTATAATTTCATTAAAGAGACCTCCATTGTCTTTAATCCTCTTTTCCCCCTCTTCATACTCTCAGCTACATCTAAATTTCCAACGCCTGAATCATACGTCGATGTTTGCCGAAACAGTGCCGAGGCTTTCACGAGCGACGTCTGGGTCGAGCATCTCCTACCACTCCTCAAGCCCCCTATCGATCCCACCGATTCCATTCGACAGCGCGTACTCGACGGGACGACGCGTCAGGAGAAGGCCGAGCTGCTCTTTGATTGGCTGATTCGGAAGGTCGACGCGCATGGGAAGCAGGCATTTTTCGCGCTTCTAGACGCCGTGAGATTGACCTATCCCCATGTAGCAGAGGAGTTTTGGAACCATCTTAAAACGATCGCCGTCACCAAGGTGCATTCAGAAATGGGTAAGAACTGCAACTACATCTTTAAAGGATCCTTAGATAAGACGCCGCGGTAAACCGCCTCCAAAAAACAAATAACCCCACGGCTTTTTTTTTTGTTAACGTGTAAATGAATGGCAACTGCGCGTATCCAGTGAGCTATGTATTATAAAAGATACAAAAATTTGACGCAAATTACACTGCGTCTTCCCTCGCAAAGAAATTGGGGGAGAAGCATTCGCATAAATGCACTACGGAAAAAAATATAACTTTGTCACTGAGATAATAATTATTCCAATGTTAATCAGTGCAAAGTCACTTGAAGATTGGTTCAGTTGTTACTAGAATCCTCTGTTGCTAGGTCGGAGGAAACTCTGGCTGACGAGCGTCTAGGGTTTTGTTGGGCAAGTTATGTTCACAAATCATCCATAAGAAAAAAAGAAAAAAAATTGTACCAATAATTAATTGGGAAATCGCCACCTTATAAACTGACAGAAAGGTGGTTTACTTGTAATCTTTATTTGATATGATTTGAAGAAAAAAAATCTGAAATTTTACTTTGAGTTTAAACAAACAAAAACAAATAACTGAGAAAAGTCGATAATCATTCAAATAGGAGACGTCAGACCCCCAAACGAAATTGTGCCCATACGCCTTCAGATAACTTTCATTTAATATTTTAATTTTTTGATCAACTCTCAAACCAGACCATGCAAGGATAGGGTTCGGCGCCCCCTCCAAGTTAGGCCAACATCAGGGGCGGCCGAGCGACTTCCAAAGTGGGGGGGGGGGGCACCTACAAATGGAAATCTGAAAACGAAAATATACAATTTTGTAGACACTGTATAAACCCCTACATTGTGATTACATTGTTAGGGATAATTTCAATATTTGTTTCACTTTATACACCATACAAGATATTGCTTAAGCATCGTGCTTCGCAGTCGAGTGTGATGGTCTGAACATTTATTTGCGAGCGAGCGAGGAAAAAAAATAAGATTTAAGAGGTCGTAGTGAGAAAAATTCCATCTTGTAAAGAGGAAAACCCCAATCCTGATGGGGTTATGAGCACATTCTCATAAACGGAAGACTGAAAAGGCCTTTGATAAGTAACATAAGTATATCATCTGTAGATGCGTGCGAGCTTTGGGGGAAACTGCTCTTAGTCGCTTGAAATCAGGGGCGCCTTTAATGATGAGAGGAAAAGGGGACACTTATCAGTAAAGAAAAGAAGCACGTGTCAAAGTTAAAAGGCTAATTGTCAGAGGTGAAAATGGGGCACTTCTTACACCCTCAAAAAGAGGCACTTACCAGGGTTAAAAAAAAGTCAGTCATGAGAACAGGAAATGGGCATTTGTTGACGGAAAAGGGGCCCCCCATCAGATTTTGATAGGGACATTTATAAGAGGTGAATAGGGGCATTTATGAAAAGGGGATAGGTCCCTTATTAAAAAGGAAAAGGGGCACGTATCATTGTTAAAAGGGAAATTATCAGAGGTGAAAAGAGGCACTTATCGCACCTGAAAAGGGGCAATGAACAAGTATGAAAAGGGGCACTCATGTGAAAATATAAGGTGCGCTTATCCGAATTAAAACGGGGGTAGTTATTAAAAGGAGCAGGGGCACTTCTTACAAAGGACAAGGGGCACTTGACAAAGTAAAAGAGGCACCTTTCAGATTTGAATAGGACAATTATCAGAGGTAAAGGGGGCACTAATCAAAAGTAAAAAGAGGCATTTCTCGTACCTGAAAAGGGGCACTTACTAGCAATTAAAAAGGGCACTTATGAGATTGGAAATTGGACACTTATTGCAAAGGAAAATGGGAAGATGTCGAATTAAAACGTGTCCAAATAAAAGGGGCGCTAATCAAAGCTGAAAAGGGGAAGGGGCACTTTTCAAGGTAAAAGGGGCACTATTCCTATGTAAAAAGGAGCACATTACAAAATTAAAGGGGCACTGGGGCACCCCAGGGAGGGCCGCCTCTGCCCATAATCATACGACGTTTAGTTTTACATCCCCTCTACCGTATGAGTAAAAAAAAAGTTTACACCTAGAAAATTGCTAATTATTTTTAAAATAATCTATGAACAGTAAATTATTATACGTCTTATGAAAGAGTGTTTTATCCCAAATCATTTGGTACCATTTGTGTGTGGTATGTGTTCATGCCTGGATGAAAAGGTGGCATTTTTTTGCGAGAGTGCAAAAATCGACTTGCGCCAAAGTGATGCCTTCAGTATGTATTATGTTGGGATTAGTGGAGTGAGAGAATGGATTGAATGTATCAAATGAAATGCATTGCATATGTTTTTTGCAAAGGGCAAAGTCACACACACCCACGCACACGCGCACAAATGTTCCTTGATATTTGATATTCGATATTTGATATGTGTGGCATGATTAATTTTGTTAGGGGTGTTATTTGTATCTGCAAAGACCGAATTAATACCCAAATCCCAATTGTTTTATTCAGACATCACATAGGCTACTTTGGCGCAAGTCGATTTTTGCACTCTCGCAAACAATGCCTCCTGTTCACCCAAGCGTGAACACATACCACACAAAAATGGTACCAAATGATTTGGGATAAAACACTCTTTCATAAGATGTATAATAATTTACTGTTCATAGATGATTTATATAATAATTAGCAATTTTCTAGGTGTAAACTTTTTTTTGACTCACTCTGTATATCGTCTAAAAACTGGACCCGTCAATATTTTTTGTGCTACCAAAATAATGCCTATTGATCTGTACCCCACGACGGTTTGATATTACCATTCGCATGCCCTTTTTTCTCATTTCAATTTGTACCCCGCATTATAAGCAATTTTCAATCGTCTGACTTTTCCCTACCCCTGTGAATAGGCCTAAGCGAACAGCATTAACAATACGACGTGAGTGATTCAAATTAGAAAAATAGGAGTTCTCTTGTATCTGTCCGCGGGTGAAATTCATGAATATCATTATCAACGTGCCATGGAACATCAATCAAAATGCTTTTATTTAGCAACGATTGATATTTCTGTTTATTTTGCTTCATGATCTGTCACTCTGTAATCAATTTTGTTCTCAACATGTAGATGGTATTCAGAGTGATATATTATTATCGGTAGTGACCTTGTGTGTCAGCAGAACAAAGGAATCATATTTTATTGAAGAATTCAAGAAATTTATTGAAGAAATTAACTGAAGTAATCATATTTTGTTACTCAAAAGTCATAATGGCCCGAATTCACAAAGCAAGGTTTGAGCTCGGACCAAGGTTTGAGCTCAAACCTCCTTTTGTTTCGCCAAACCTCCTTTTGTTCTTTACAAACCAGGTTTGTAAAAAACGCGTAAAATGCGTCATATGACGTACGAAAACCAAGGTTTGTCGACAAACCTCCTTTGTGAATTCGGGCCATTAAGTCTAATTTCATAAAATTTGAATTGGGGGTGGGGGCTGTCATAGGTTTCATACAACTTGCTTGCAATGGCAGTAATTCTTCCGCAAATATTTTTTATAAAAATTGATGAAATATGATAATTTAAACAGTGTTAAAATTGATTGACCATTAAATAACTTGACTGGCAGATATCTAAATTAACTATTTGCTAAATCCCGGGTTAAAAAAAACGAAACTGAAGGGTGCAAAAATGAATTTGAATGAAAAAAATGTTAAAATGGACATGAAATCCTATAGAATTAGAATTTTAGTAATTATAATGATAAAGAAAATAATAATAGTAGTAATAATTATAATAATAATACAGAGAGAAAGATATAATGGGAGACAAATATCTAACAAATATGAGGAGGGAAAATATTTATATGAGGAATGAGAGTTAGAGGGATAGATATACATAGAGAGAGAGAGAGAGAGAGAGAGAGAGAGAGAGAAGCCAAGAAGCCGGCGATATTTCATCGGATGACCCTGCCCAATTGTGTAGACGTTTGTAATGAACGAAGACAATGCAGCTCTTGAGTAAAACCACTTCGAATGACTTTAACAATTCATGATGTTGTCATGACACTCAGAATATCATGATTCCTGCCTTCGAGCCGAACCATCCCTTTTGTCGAAAACAACCAAAACTATTAACATCCGCCATCAGCCAATCATAGCCTTCTCCTATTGTGACTGCCCTAGATATTCATCGCCCAGTTTATTGTACTTGATCATCATAAACCTTTGATTAGTGGCAACGTTGCCTGGGCCCCGTTGCACAAAACTTACCATTGATGTTAACTTTGCCACCAATGGCAACTACCATGGTAACAGGGCTCAACAGCCAATCAAAATCAAGGTTTCCATGGTAGTTACCATTGATGGCAAAGTTACCGTCAATGGTAAGTTTTGTGCAACGGGGCATCATTTTGACCCTTTTAGAATCTGGCATTATGCCTTGCATAATTGGACTATTTCCTGAAAAATTCGATTTCTGGGGGTTTGGCATAATTTTTGGCGATTTAGCATAATTTTCGCTGCTCCCCTAGCATAATTGTATTTTTTTCACTGGCCACGCTGATTGGTGGGCGGCTAAGTAACAGACTATTTAATAGACAGGGCCAGTGGCACAGCGGCAGTTCAGTCATTGGGGAGGGAGGGGGTACAAGTCTTAATAGATGGAAGAAATTCGACGTTTAATGTGGCGACTTAGCTGGGAGGTCTAAAATGGTGGTCGTATAATTTTTTCTTCTTCCCCCTTCCAATCCTCCTTTCTCATCACCCCCCCTCTCACTCCCCCCCCCCCCGTCTCTCTCATTCGATGGGATGGGGTATATGCCCCTCGTGCCCCAAATTTGACAACTTTGATACGCCAATGGACAGGGTATTGATAAAGTGATATACTAATGTGTTTTGTATATCTTCCCATTACAACCATTCCACATAAATGTTTTATTATGTTATATTTTATATTTTATTATCAATATTTTTAGCAAGACAATTTTCGTAATCGTCGGAATTGTGCTACCACCCCCTTTTTATATACAAAATTAAGATCTTTCCACCTTTCATGCAACACATCCGAATGTAGCGTCCTTCCCCTTAATTTGATCTGGGCGTATAAATATACCCATTTCTTGTAATCGGATAATACCATCTAAATTAATGGACAGAAAATATTAAGGGGAAAGTAAAATGAAAAAAATATTACACGTCGTGTGAAATGAAAGAAAAGTGCAATAGAAATCATTCTACCCTTGCACACATTATTCAATATTCCAAATTGTCCATAATTTTACACCGTATAAAGGCTATTGTCACCGGATTGTAAAAAGAGACTGTCACGGTCTTTCAGAATTAAATTTGATGAAGTGGAACTCTCTTTTAGGAAATAATCCATTTTGCGAGCAGTGAAAGCGTCGGCCTACTGTCATGTTGATCTGAGTAAAACTATTGTGTGAGAAAGTAATGCATAACAGTTAAAATAGACTCATGTAGAACAGAGAAAATAGAACACAGAACATACTTTTTATTTTTGTATATACTTATGTCTTTGTACGTTATAGAAATTCAACACATTCATCAATATTTTCCTCCTCTTCCTCCTCCTCATCCTCCTCTTCTTTTTCTTCTTCTCTCTCTTCTTTTTCTTCTTCTTTTCTTCTTCTTCTTTTTTTTTAAAAAATATTTTCCTAATATTCTTATAGCACTTATTATCATTTCTATCATTATCAGTTTAATGTTGTTATTATAATTATCATCATTATAATCTTTAATTTAAAAAAAAATCTTAAGTATATGTCTGTTGATAATACGATTTTGACTTACTTATTTTGTACATGTATTTCGGGGACCCCACTGAAAACAAGCTCTCAAGCTTTCGTGGGTTATCCTGTTCAAGTTGACTTGATTTTTGATCCGTTATTCTTTTATATTGTTGTATGTTGGAGGCTTGGCAAATAATAATCAATCAATCAATCAGCTCGGAAGAAAGAAGCAACGTTATTTCTCTGCCAAAGAGGTTCTTTTTTCCTCATCGTTACCCTAAAAAAATTGCCGCTTTTATTCCTGGTTCCACCTATTATGCTTCATAAATTTTCTTTTTCATTTCTCTCCTATTTTAGCAACGAAGGGAGTCGGTGGGAGGGGTGTGAGGCAGACAAACGGAATGAAAGGACGCACCAACAACAAGGGGAAAAGCGGTGGGTACTTGAATAATTATCTTAATTCTTGTACTTTTAACAAAGCTAATTACTACCGCTTTGGGAGAAGAGGACCAGAATGTAATTTATCATTATATTCTGGTCCTCTTCCCCTGTGACTTATCATTACATTCTGGTCCTCTTCCCCCAAAGCGGTAGTGATTAGCTTTGTCGACAGCACCAGAATGATTGCGAGGCAGAGAGAAATAGATTGTCAGAGAGGGAATGAAGGAAAGGAGAACAAATATAAAAAAACATGGGGAAGTCTATTACAATAATTACAGTCTATTACAATAATTACAGTCTATAACGATAATTACAGTCTATTACAATAATTACAGTCTATTACAATAATTACAGTCTATTACAATAATTACAGTCTATTACAATAATTATCATTTTTAAATAGCAGTTTCACAATACCGCAAGTCTGGTGGAGAGAGAGAGAGGGAGAAAGAGAGAGAGAGAGAGGGAGAGAAAGGGGGGGGGGGGTGGCACAATTTATTTACGAAACATGCTTGTTTTTAGAACCGCAATTTGCCTTTTGACGAAGGCGGTTAGAATGCACTGTTATTGGCTTTATCCGGAAATATTTATGTCAAATGGTTTATTAAGAATATAATCGATATTTTCATTTCATACAAAATCATGTTTTGAACTCGTATCAAGAAACGGGTGACATAGATATAATTTGTTATTTCGTTCCAAAAAAGCGATGTAAATGAAACTGACATATTGATATGACATCTTTATATCCAAAAACATGTTATTGGTTCGCGTTAGGAATCGGGTGACAGAGTTTGCCAATTCGCACCAAAATAAACGATGTCAATTACAAGACAACCATTCACATGCAACATGTCTTTATTCTAGCAAGATTGTCGGAATACGTGAAACATTTTTCATATCGATTGCCAAGTCTTTTGAAGGTCAGAAAACCATCGTTGATGCCAATAGGGTCAATTATAGGAGAAAAAACTTCGTATTAACGTTAAACTGAAGTCAATAATATTGACTAACAATACTTTTGTGGCAAAATTGTTCCAATTGTTCATTGTTGAATGATCATAATTTTTCATGGTCATCATAATTTGATTGGAAATTAAACTAGTATTGTCGACAATAGGAAAATATTTTTATGTCCTCATATCCCCCTCTTTCGTTGTAGGAGATTCCTTAACAAATGGGAAGCTGTCGAATGATGGAGATCCTTTCAAGGGACCCTCTGATGGTGAAATGGACTACCATTCCCAGCTCGACCGGGCTGTCGAGGTGATCGGTGAGGCGAACTCGAAGATCAGGAGGACCGAAGATCGCACCAAGGCCTTAGAAAATGAAAAGACGGACTTGGAAAATAAACTGCGAATCGCTCTCCGAGAATCTTACAGTCTGCGATCAGAGCTGGAAACTCTCAAACAAGAAAAAGAAGGGAAGAACTTGAAGGAGGCCGAGCAGAGAAGGTCACGGGAGCGTAAGCTTAAGGGCCTCCATGAGGAGCTGGAGACTAAGGAGTCCATGATGGCGGACAGGGAGATCGAGTTGAGGAGGAGAGAGCTGGAGCTTGATCAGAGGGTGGCCAAGGTCAGGAGGCAACAGGCTGACGTGGAGAGACAACTACTAGAAGTCCTGGACAAGGATAAGTCATTTGAAGGTAGAGTTCACTCACAGAGCAAAAAGGACGAGGAGTTGAAACGTCGCGACCGAGCGCTGACCGTTCGTGAATCCATCATCGCTGACAAAGAAGATCTCTTGACCAGAAACCTTGAGGAACTCAAGGATAAGGAGACCAACCTTGTGAAGGCGATGAATGATTTGGAAAAGAAGCGAGAAACCCTGAATAATCTTAAGAGAAAGAATGATGAAGTAGCATTGAAGCTCTCGGAGAAGAAGATGGACATTGATGTCAAAGAAAGAGAAGTGGGCATAACCCTGGTGGCCTTACGGAAGGATGAGGCAGAGCTGCTGAGGAAAGAGGAGCAGTTGGAGGAGATGGAGGAAGATAATGAACAAAGACAGGCAGAACTTGAAGAGAAGGAACGAGGACTGAGTCAAAAAAGTCGTGAGACGGGCGAGTTTGAGAAAGAAAAGAAACAGTTCTCTTCTGAAAAGAAAAAATGGCATGGCGAGGCTGCAAAGATTAGGAATGAACTTGAAAGGGAACGGAAAAGTTTGAGGGAACGTGACATGGAGCTCAAAACAAAAGAGCGCGAATTGCAAATCAAAGAGAAGGAATGGCGTACAGTGAAGGGTGCATTGGACAAACACTTGCAAGATCAGGACAAGATCGAGCGCTCTATCAAGGCCATCGAGATGGAGCAACATCGAATCGAATTGGCTCAAAGCGTGCGCGAGGCTGAAATGGAACAGAAAGACAAAAGAGAGAAATTGATTTCGTCGATGACGAGTAAAGAAGATGAACTCTTGCTGAAAATAACCGATCTTCACAAGAAAGAACAACACATCAGAGAACGAGAGGAACGCTTGAAGGACGAGGAACAACGGTCATTTCCTCTCATATACCGAAGTGATAATCAACTGAGAGATAGTGGCGATCACGAGATGGTTTTAGAAGATGTCTCGGAGACACAGACTCCGTCTTTAAGACAACAAGGTAAGCACTATAGTCAAATACCTTTTGACAACAGCTCGACCCCAGAAAGTGGCTTTTCTGATGCTCATCCCGGAGAGTACAAAATTCTCCAGAGAGGAACCCTAAGCGCCCATCATCGCAACCAGGCCTTCACTGTCAGAACGGGTAACGTCAAGAACATCGGAGAAATGAAAAACATCATCTACAGGAGAGAGGGGATACCAATTCCTTGGCAACAATTTTATTTCAACAGCAAACTCTTGCCGGACACCTCTTTGCTGCCGCCAACAGAAAGCCTGGCAAGTGGAGTCCTTGATTTACGATTGGCTCTTCCAAAAGGCAACCTGACTCTCATCGTTAGGATGAACAGCGCTATCTCAAGGAAGATTGAGTTTGACGAAGTTGAGACTATAGCAGCTGCAAAGACGCGCATTTATAAGTCAGAAGGCATTCCTCCACACCAGCAGAATCTCTTCTACGGCGACATAGAGTTGCAGAACAAATATCACCTCAGTGATTATCACATTCATCCAGGAACAGAACTCTTCCTGAGATTACGTTACGATATAGTCGTGGTTCTCTTCCACGATCGTCTCATTGGCCTTACCGTGGAAGACCTTGATACAGTTGCTTCTGTTAAGGGTCGTATCTACGAAGAAACCCGGATCCACGTTGACTATCAAGTTCTGACGTACGGAGCAACGACCATGGCTGATCAGAGACCACTGGGGCACTACCGAGTCACCGAAGGTTCGCGGATCTTTGTCTCTTTTGTCTTACCCATCGTGGTGGAGCCAACCAGAGAGACCTTCACCTTGACCATAGACCCACAGGCCGAATGCCACAAGATCAAAGAACAGATCTGCAAGTTCCGTGGCATCCACGTCCCGCTTCAGAAGCTTGTGCAGCATGGGCGACTCTTAGACGACCAAGTCCCCATAATAGAAGAGCTCTCGCAAGGTGGACCAGTCCACCTTCACCATGGGAACATCTTGATCCTGGACGAGAACGGGAAGGTCTTGATGTATGACGTCCAGCCTTGGCACTGTGTCGCCAAAGTCAAGGAGATCATCTGCAGGAAGATAGGGGTCCACACAAGACACCAGCACCTCATGCATGGAGATCAGGAACTTAAAACAGTCAACAGAGCGATCAAGTATTTCGGGGTAAAGCGATCTGACTTCCTCGTTTTAAAGACGGAACCGAAAGCTTTTATTTCTGACAAAGAGGGTTTAGTCCAGAAATAAATTTTGCCTGTTCAATTTTGCGTTCCAATCGGGCTTTGAAGATAAAAATAAATTTCTCACAGAAAACAACTGAAAATTATATTGCAAGCAAGAAGCTAGTTGCTGATATTTTTGTTCAACTATAAATGCCTTTTACTAAAGATAGTATAGGCATGATTTAAAACAGAAGCATCTTCCGCTTTATTATTTTATCACACAAAGAATATGGAAATAACCAGAAAATATGCAAGAAAATAAATCCACATCCAATTTTCAATAACAAAGTGGTATTTTATCAGACTGCACTTTGCCAAAATTCATCTATTGGTAACCAGCTCATAAATTATACGTCTTGTTGGTGCTTTGGCAACACTATAGTAACCATTTTCATTATAAAATGAAGTGATCTATTCAAAGTTGATCATTCAGAGACATTATATAGCACTCATTATGCCCATCTTGTCTACGTGGTCTGGAGCCATACCTACGTTAAAAGATATAGGGGCGTATCCAACTTTGGTTTGAGCCGGCGTAAACACAAGATTGTCATTATCATTATCATTAATATCATGACTATTATCATTATTATTATTATTTTTATTAAATATTTTTTTATATTATTATTTTTATTATCATCATTGTTTTTTTTTATTTCTCATTATTATTAATAATAATAAAAACAATAATACTGCTCCTAATAATTAGGAAGGAATAAAAAAAAATAATAACACCAATAATAATACTACTACTAATTGTATTATTATTATAATTATTATTATAAAAGAGTTTTCGAACTTAACAACCCATGGGAGCCCTTTTTTAAGTTTGCATATTTTGCCGATATCCATCTTAGTCACTTTGCATTCATGACGTCACTGGGCCAGTTTGAATAGGTTGTTTGTCTAAATACCTATACTAGAAGGCAGGCGCGGATCCAGGATTTCTTAGGGGAGGGGGCCCAACTTTTTTTTTTTTTGCTCCCGAAAATTTGAAAATCGCGCCGGCCGAAAAGTCGCTCAGTGGGGGGGGGGGGGGGGGGGGGGGGGGGGGGGGGGGGGGTAGTGAGCACATTTTTTTTTTTTTGATCCTCAAAAAAAATTCAATTTGCACCCCCCCCCCCCCTTGAGCGCCAGGGGAGGGGGCCCAACCCCCAAAAATCGTAAAAATCACGTGATTTTACATGGTTTTTTTCTCAAGGGGGGGGGGGGAGGGCCCGGGCCCCCCGGGCCCCCTCCCCCCCCCTGGATCCGCCACTGCTAGAAGGTATCCGAACAAGGGCACAAAAGGGGATCGAGAAAATCCTTACTTTTACAGCAAGAGTTACAAATATTTGTATCAATTGTGCAATCATTAATTTCACAATAGTCAGCCCCTATAAAGATGTTTTAATAGGGGCATCACACCCCTACCCACAGTGGCGTAGACAGGTTCGTACACCTGGGGATGACTCAGGGGCGGATCTAGCTTTTTGCTAAGGGGGGGGTGACCAATAATGACGATGCGGAGCATCGTCCACGAGCCGCGAAGCGGCGAGCCGATTTTTTGGGGGGTGTTTATTTGAAACCCGTAAGTGATGTTTTCCTGGCATCTATTAACACAATGGAGACCATAAAAAGCAGTGCATGATAACGTCTTTTTAAATCAAGTAACAGTTAAATACACAGTTATATCCAGAGTTATCATGTGTTTGATTAAGTTACCAGATGAGTTGAATATCTTCTCACAATATTTGCACTTGAAAGGGTTTCTCTCCAGCGTGCGTTCTTTTTTCTTTCTTTTTTTCTTTTCTTTTTTTTTTTTTTTTTTGTTTTTTGGGCCGCCCAAGGGGGGGGTTAACCCCCTAAACCCCCCCCCGTAGATCCGCGCCTGTTTAATCTTGTGGTTATCTTGTGGTTTCCAAACCACAAGATAACCACAAAATACTTGTAAGATTTTCTCTTTTTTTACCGTCTGAATTGGCTTTCACCGTGTGAATGCGGCTAATAACAATAAACACAATTACAATAATGATGAGGATTATTATTATCATCATCATAATTATTATTATTATTAATATTATAATTGTTATCATTATTATTATTACTATTATTATCATCATTATGACTTATTAAGTAAGCAAATATCATTCCCCAAAACCTGGGGGGATGATTGTACATGCCACCCCCCCCCCCCCACCTTGTGAGGTGGGGGGATGCATCCCCCTCATCCCCCCGTTGTCTACGCCCCTGCCTACCCAATTTGTAATACCCCAAAATGTACGAGAGGGTTGAAAGAATATCTAAATTTCAGTCACTTGAGTAAGACATAACATTTTTCGTAATGTATTCTTTATTTCAAGAAAATGATGTGCAATTGCTAAAAGGTAATGTGTAATGTTAACCTACATTTTTTGTAAATTATTTCGACAGGATGTCATCCAATTTCAAGTTTTTGATTCATAAGGTTAGTTGCATTTTCAGCCGTTTTAGAGAATAACAATTCAAGCGCAATATAATAATGCATGCATGGAATTCGGTTCCATTTTCCTTCAAGCGGTGCAATATAGATATTGCATCTATTTCGACATACTTCACCTACTTTATGTCATTTTTACCGTTCCATAGTCTTTCAATTTGATTTGAAATGAGAAGATGTATTAATTTGTCAAACCGTATACCGTCCGATTCGCCATAGTAAGCGATGAACCTTATGCCTTGAATGTGTATAGTATAGTAGTTTACATATTCAGTTTATTAATCATGTAATATCAATATTTTTACCCACTATGAATGTCTTTCTTATTACACGACGTATTGTGACAACCGAATGTATCATCATGGTCTAGCCAATGCCAATTAATACTTTTCTAAATGTTGTTTAGATAGTGAGGATTGCTGCACAAAAATGCTTGTAAATTGTGAGTTTTTGGAGTGAAAATTATTGTAAATGATAGTGTGTTATTTTAAAACGGACGCATTTTTTTATCTCGATAAACAATGATAATCCTGTTTTGCTGCATGTTCTGTTTACTCTTCTAAAATCTAAATTAAATTCTTAAAGTGGATTATAGAGTACACAGTACCAAATTTGAAACGGGAATTACGAGTTTAAAGCCACTTTCTTGAAATTAACATATGTGCAAATACAGTGTCATCGGAATATGATTCAACGTCTTGTAAATGCATGAATGAAATTTGTTCCCCGCTAATGACTTGTGACCATGTCCTGAAGTTAGCACGTAGACCTACATCAAACATGCCAAAATACGGGTCAAAATATATCAACTTGACCGTCGGGCGATCTATTCACTGGAAGTATTTCACAGTTCTTTCCTCTTTTGTTTTATAGAAAATGTATGATGATTATGGCTCAAATATACTCAAGTGCAATTATTAAAGCAAGCGCAATAAAGATTATGTATTTTGATATATCATATCCTAGAACAAACTGATTAGTTTGCAAATTATCAATGCCACTTTTCTACGCATCTTTAGTTTTATCCATCTGAAAATGTTGATATTCATTATATCCTTTTTTGGTTTAGTCAAGTTGTAATTCATTTCTAAATTTAGACAATATTCTCATAGTATGTTACTATGCGATATTGATACATCTATTTCAGAATGACCCATAACATTGGATTATCAAAGAAGAAACCTCAGTTTTATGTGACCAAGAACAAAGTGTAATTTACAAAGTGTCATTTCTTATCAATGCATCTATAATGCTCATAAAACGCGTCTGTATTTCAAAGTAATGTTGTTAACATTTATAATCTATGTGTTTTTATTATTTTATATTCAAGCTCATCGCAAAATAGTTACTCTCAAGATTTGAACAACTCTCTGTGTAAAACTATGCAAATTTGATACATCTTTATGGTTTTTAGATGCTTAAGATAAACTGCCTCGTTACAAAGAATGTAAATATAGTTTATCGACATGTTTTTGCAAAGATTTTATTCTGAAAATCATGAATTGAAAGAATGATTTTGAATTTGTATTAATTTAAACTTCGAACAAAACTTTGTACATACAAAAGTCTTTAATTTGTATTGTAAGTGAACATCATACTACTGAAATATAGTGAATCTATTTATATCATAGAGATATGCAATCATTTATAATCTTGTAAATATGAAGTATGCTTGATGATACAAGTGTTTATCATTGGAGTAAAACAAAGAGTGCATGTATATTACATTTAGAGAGAAATGGGGGAGTATTTTACGGATTTTTCGTATTCCCGAGCATCCATTCCATGGGGAATTGTAGATAATTTGTTGAAGTGGAAGGAAGCAGTATTGTTGTATGCCTGAGAAAATGCAACAAATCACCAGATGATACTCTTTCAGGGTTTTTTTCCTGCATTTTGTTCCTGTTATGTGATTCTAGTTTTCTTTGTCATTTCTAAACTAATAACTTTCTCTAATGAGTGCATTGTTTAGATTACAGAGAATGTAATGTGTCAATTTAATTGTATAATTTAGTTCTTAATCAAATTGATATACGTCAAAAGCGTTCTATGTACTTTTATCAATTTATTTTTGACTTAGAAATAAACTAGCTGACCTTAAAACTGTACCATATAATATTTTGTATATCTTGTGTTGCAAACAAATCCTTGTTCTCTAAATTTTAATAGAGTTGATTTGAAAGCAAAAGGAAATCGAAATAAAACGATGAGTGAAACTTAACATCGTTTTTAATCATCTAAACAACATGTACTATGTACAGAGCTTCAGATCTACTGTAGTCATCTTATTTAAGATAGGCCTATGTATAACAAAATACTTATATATTACCTTTAATTTTAGCATTTAAAAATACATCTCTTTCTTGACATTCAAGTTAATACAAAGCGGATATATACAAGCAATGTAGTGATATGAAAGACCAAAATCAATTAATATGGACAGGGGAAAAGCTGTCAGAGGCAATAAGAGCAACAGCGGACGGAGAAGGGTGGCATAAACTTGTGATGGCCACAGTAGCGCAGTTAGCGCCACCGGACAGAAAGGAGAAGGTTTCATGAAGGCAAAA